TACCACAACAGTACTAAAAACAGCTAGAATTCAGAGAAAACATTTAGGAGACTTGTTGTCACTTAATCTCCAATATAAAATGTCAGTTAATGTTGGTAAAAAACACTCAATGAAGTGATAGTGATGGTGATAATGATGATACAGAGAAAGAAGAGACATTAAAAGATAAAAAAAAAATAAACACAATAAAATGTAAAGGTTGCCAATTTTCTTGAGATGATAATGAAAACAAGTCATTATTTCATGGCCTGATTGTACAAACATTGACTTTATTAGCAAACAAAAACAAATAAATAAATAAAAATAAAACAAAACAATAAAGTAAAATTAAATTTTAAAATATCCCAAAAGCAATGTGTGGCACTTTTCATACATTTTTATATTTGGAATTATATACAGTTATTTTTTTAAGAACCTTTAACTTTCATCATGATGTGATCAAAATTTATGATAATCATGAAAAAAGAGAAAATTATTATTTACCAAGACTACTACTATTATGTTCTTTTTTTTGCTATTTTGGCCATGTCTTCACTTGCAACTACTACTATTACTACTACTAACAAGGGTATTATCCTCATTTTTTTTAATGTATAATGATCAGGGTTGGCTCATGTTACTGGCAACTTAGGCCGTCACCTTGGGTGCCATCGAGGCCGAGGACACCATAATGACACCATGTCATGTGTTTGGGATCTTCCCAAACTAAAGCTTATAAAAACATACTTGCAGTCATACATGACTCAAGACAGATTAAATTCTTTGGTTATTTTGTCAATAGAAAATGATTTTGTAAAGAAGATAGGTGAAGAAATTGCCATGAAAAGATTTGCAGATCTAAAGCCTAGAAAAAAATGTTTTGTGTAGGGTAATGAATGTTTTCTTTAGTTTGTATTAAGTTGTATATTGTAATAAATTCATTATTCTACATTTTTGGTTTTTCTCTTGTGAAAATCAAAAAAAATTATATTTGTAATAGAGCTGAAGTTCAGCTTGCCTGGGGTGTTGACAGCCCTATGGATGTCACTGATAATGATCAATCAATTAATAAAGTTCAATTTAAAAGGAAAGGTCAAAGTTTGCGGCTTGTTGTCAAAAAGTACCTAACTGAATTTCCTTATCGGAAGGAATAGTTATTTGAAGTAAATATATAAACCTAACACAATAAGAATGAAAAAGAGGAGAGACTAAGGTAGTTAAACGGGGGGAGGGAATCAGTTGCAGAAAGAGAGGATATCAATACAGGAGATTTATTACAAATCAAAGGTATTGATTTATGTGCTTCTTCTAGTTGTTTAATAATAGTGTTTAGAGAGAGAAAAGTAAAAAATAAAGAGACTGCTTTTTAAATATGGGTATATATCTATATCTATATATATATATAAGTTTCATTAAAAACAACTGACAAGGTACTGTGGTTAAGTTTTATATAATTTTTCATGTGTTTTTATAATTTTTTTCTTTTCTGGATGTAAATTATATAAAAATTGTCCAAATGTTTTATATGTCTGAGCGCTTTTGGCTATACTTTTCGCCATTATCAAGGATGAATTTTAGTTTTACTTTTAACTGAATCTATGGATTGTTTTATGTATGTATTATTATTTTTGACAATGAGGTTAGCAGTTTTAAATTTTTTATCGTAGATAATTATTTTTTTTGCTTTTGTTGAGTGAAGTTGTATATTCCTTTAATGTTTATAATGATTCATCTTGCTTGTAATTACCATGCACTTGAAAATTCATCCTTGATAAGATGGCTAAAAGTATAGCCGAAAGCACCCAGACATATAAAACATTTGGATAATTTTTATATAATTTACATCCAGAAAAGAAAAAAATTATAAGAACACATGAAAAATTGCATAAAAAACTTAACCACAATACCTTGTCAGTATTTTTTAATTAAACTTTCATAAAAGAGGGACTACTGCCCAAATAAACAATTATATATATGGGTATATCAAGGTGCTATAAACAGTTTATTCATTTATATGGATTATTTATTTACATTTACACTAATTGTTTTCTAAATGCATAGCAGAGGATCATGATTAACATATTAGTTTCAAAAGCCAAAAGTAGTGTGTTTGATCCTCACTGGGCACCCAGTAAATGTAACCTTGTACTAAAATTGGCTTATTCCAACAAATACTTTGTTTTACAGTATACTAGTTTGCTGATACTGGTATACTACTTTGCTGATGCCAAGATGATCAAATTTCAAATTTAATTTATTTGACCATTTAAAATACTATATTTATAAGCAAATATATTCAGTTTAAATACATTTCAGCACATACCCTTTTCCTGTTATCCAGGGTTTGTTACCAGACAGAAAGGGAAATTAGCCATCACAACACAGAGCTTTGTTTCAAATTCATTCCAATTCTGTGTGTATGTATGTTTGCATGCACACATGTATATTTTAATACAATGACAGGCATAAAAATATTTCTACAAAATTTAAAAAAAAAGCCTTTAAAAAATAATTCTGTTTATTACTGAATAATTTTCTGAAAAGTTTAATGTTATAATTATCTTATATTTTTTTAAGGGCTTAAATTTTTTTATTTCTTGCCTCTGACTTTATGATAAGAGTAAGCTTTTCTTTTATGATATAGATTTAATCTTTGTTTCATTAAAAAATACGTTTTTCTGTTATTTAATTATTATTTATGATATACTTATCTACATTTATTTTGCTTTGATCATTCTACAACCATATTTGTCATTGTGTTCTATTTATTTCTTTACTGATATTTATACAACACAAAGGCCATAAGTGTGGGGCATCCAGTTGTTTTTTAAAAAATGCCCTGCCCCTTAGGTGATCATGCCTCTTCCAATATTCCTTTTTCTTTATTGTTTATGAATTGTCATGACCTCTTGGGGAAAGACAGTATAGGGATTTCTCATGGCTTCTCCCTGGTTTGGAATTCATAGTTCTGGGTGAAGAGATGGATTCATGCCTTTCCCAAAGTTAGTTGTGCGAAAGTGAATGCAACAGACTAACCTGGAATCTAAACTTCTTTTGCCAATTTCACATTCTCCATCAATATCAATTACACTACCTAATTACTCATGCAATAAAAATGGCTTTTGAAACCAGCTTGCTAATCACTGTTGTATGCCAAAGCAGCCTTTGTAATACATTCATTTATAATTTTCATTTATTCACATATTTTATTATCAATTTAGAATTCAGTTATTTAATTACGTCCTGATATGCTTACATTTTCGTTAAGAACAAATTTCATTAAATACGAAGCATTTTTCAAAATTTTAAGATGTTATCTCCCTTTACTTTCAAAGTCACAGCCATTATCTTTTAAGACAACTCAAAGATCATTTTGACACGAAGCTCACAAAAATTTATATGGTTCTCTATTCAAAATAAAAAGAGACAACACGTCAAATTTTAAAAGCCAATCAAAAAAGAACATTTTTCAAATTATTTTTTACAAAGAATATGAAAACTATTTATGTATGAACACTAATATAAAAATATAGCATTTTTAAAAAGTTAAAAATTAATGCATAACTTATAGCTCAGTGGTTAGAGCAATCATCTTATAAACAAATGTTTTAAATTTAATTTTGACTTGATTTTTAAAAAAGTGCTTAATATCAGAATGGTAATAAACTGTATCATTTTTTTAAAGTTATAATTATATAACAATTTTAGAAAAAAACAAAAAGATGTAAATCATAGAATTGTGTCTATTTTATTCTTCTCCTGTTATAATGCATTTACTACTGGTATAGTCTGAAGAAATTTTATAATTGTAATTGTAAAGATATTTAACAAATCTGAAGTAGCATTGTTATCTAGATATCTTGGAAAATACTTTTAAATATTTTTAAGAAACAACATAAAACTAATTAAGAAAGTATTAAGTAACCAATTGTGCAAGAACAGAATCAAGCATATTTCAAATTCTGTCATCCTTTTCATCCAGATCCATTAAAAATGAATGGTCTTGATCTGTTTCATTTAATCAAATTCCAATATATATATATATATATATATATATATATATATAGGTTTAGTATAATTTTCAAACATCAAACTTGAACAGGTTCATTTTTTTTATTATAGGTTTATGTCATGTATAATAAAATATTTTCATCTTCAGAGCTGATATACAAAAATATAAATACTGATAGCTTATATCTCCTGCTGGACACCAAGGAAAACCCATCAAACTAAAATATGTTTTATATATATATATATATATATATATATATATATATATATTTTACAATCAAATTTCCTGATGTGTGGATACAACCAAAATTAAACTCAGAGTCAACAAATGAAAATTTAATTTTCTTTATTACTATATATATTATATGTGTATGTGTAATTTCAAATGTTCACTTATCTTGCCTCTACTCTGAGTTTCATGGAGAATACATCAACTCATCAGGAGATTTGTAAAATTAAAATTCCCCAGTTGATTATTTTTTTCATGCAACACAATATTATTTCTTATTACACATTTACTTATTTTTAGCTATAAATTGTAGAACCTTTCTGTCACAAATTTTCATATAATTTCACATTTAAACATTTAAACTATAAATAATTTCTGCTTCATTTTGTTTCCATGTAATACTTGGAAAGATTTAACTTAAATGAATTTATTATCTTGAATTCAACGGAAAGTCACTTGCAGTTTATATATGTTCATGTGTATAAACTACCAACATGGAGTCACTAATGTTTAAAAAAGTTTTTCTTTTCTTACAGCTTGAATATACAAGAAAGAAAATGCAAATAATCAAGTCAAGTCCTGTGCTCCATAACAGCCGTCTCTGGAGGAAAAAAAAACTTTTGAATACATTCTATTTTCTTTAAGTACTGAACCAAAAGTCTTGGCGCATGTGACTGTGAAAAAGAAATTACAAATAAAATAAAGAAATTCTAAAAATAAAAACATAGAGGAACTCAGTTCCTTCTCATCCCAATTGAATTAAATGAGAAAGTATACTTACAGATGAGTAAATGGAAGATGACGTGGATACCAGAGACAAGGAAGAACCATGCACTGGAAAAGAAAAATAAAGATGACATGAGTTACTTCCCTTACACTCCTAAGCAACCATGGACAACGACACCAATGCAAAGAAAGGAAAAAAAATTATAAACATTAATTCTGTTTAAATGTGAAATAAATATTTTTATGCTCTTGATACAGACTTGAAGTTTAGAAGAAATAAGAATCAATAAGAACAAAGACGTACTGCGGCTTAAAAAACATAAAATTATAAAAAAAATCAAGAAATTGAGCTTTGTTCTTGAATTTTATTAAAGTTATTTTTAGTATTCTATCATCTATTTTTCAAAGCCATGTGATGATTTTTTGTCTCTTATATTGTTGTCTTATGACAAGGTTATAATAAGAAATTAATTTATTTTTTTAAAACATTTGTAGTCTTTTTTTTATTATAAAAAGCTTTTTTCTAATAAATTTGACACTATGAAAACTGACATGATGTTCTATTTTAATACAAGAAAGGTAAAAAAAAAATACAACAATGAAAGATGCTTACTTATGAACAAAACAAAAACAGAAGCCTTCCTAAAATAAAACTATTTAAAACAACTGTTGGAGAGGAAATATGTTTTAAAATATCAATGTGTGTGCCGGACGGTAAATGAAATTTTAAAGAATACTTCAATAACACAAAATTAATTTTATGGATGTTTTTCTTTTCTTTTATTCAACACAAGTTGATTCATTAATGTGACTTGAACAAAATGGAAATATTAGAAAAATGGAAGGAAAAGAAAATAGAAGATTGTTGTATCTTGGGGTTTGGCTAATGCATATAAGAATATGTTGTTCTATTGTTTATTGTGATTCTTGTACAATTTTATACTGTTTCTTGTACAATCACAAAAGTTAAGCAACATTGAATCTGGTCAGTACCTAGATAAGTGACCACATTGGAATACAAAGTGCCTTAAATTTGGATATGTGAGTGGTGTAATGAGCTTACAGCCATATCATGTTGAAACACTGGTTCTCATATAATCACTGAAGTTAAGCAATATTGAAACTAGATGGGTAACTGCATGGGAATACCAGGTGCTTTAAACTTGGATGTACGAGTAGTATAGCTTACAACCATATCACATTGAAACACCAGTTCTCTTATGATCACCAAAGTTAAGCAATGTTGAACTTGGTCAGTATCTAGATGATTGACCCTGTGGGAATAGTAGGTGCTGTATGCTTGGATGTGTGAGTGGTATAGCTTATGGGCATATCATGTTGAAACACTAGTTCTTGTACAATCAGTGAAATTAAGCAAAGCCGAGCCTGGTCAGAACCTAGATGGGTGACTGTGCAGGAATAGCAGGTGCTGTAAGCTTGGATGTGCAAGTGGTACGATTTATAGCCATGTTGGATTGAAATGATGGTTCTTGTATGATAACTGAAGTTAAGCAATGTCAAGCTTAGTCAGTAACTATATGGGTGACTGGTTGGGAATATCAGGTGTTGTAATCTTGGATGTCTGAGTGGTGCAATGGATAATGGCTTGGAATTGGAAATCGGAGGGCCGAGTTCCAATTCTAGTTGGGTTTGTTATATTCACTTAAGTGCAAATATCCTTAGGAAAGGTATGAATCCACCTCTTCTCCCCCCAACTATGGGTTAATTAATAGGACTTGTATCAGTAAATCATTATTATCTTCAAAAATTCTTACTATCTAAAAATATTTTCTAACTTTAAATAACCTACAAAAGGTTGATAAACTGTAAAAACAAATCAATCAATCAAGTATAAGTATATTTATTTTCTATTTTGACTAATGAAAATCTTGTGTCTTTTCAAGATCAATGTAAATATATCTTAAGCAATGTATCCTGCGTATATGAATAAGACTATTTCTCTGTTACATGTGTGCAAAAAATGTTGTATATGATTTGTATTATTTACATACATGACCACATAGCTGAGTCGTTAGAATATTTGTTTTCCAACCATGAGAGCTGAGTTTGAATCTCACCAGGATCGATTTGTCAGGAAGGAGACTTCTGGATGTTATTAGCCTGTGAGGTGATACTAGCATACCAGCATACCATGGCTATTGTGAATGAAATTGGATGTACAAAATTATTTGAAAAGGTCAGTGGTTGTGCTAGTACAAACTTACAAGTCATCATGACTGAGGTTTTAAGTGTAGTGTGGTCATGTTCACACTGCTGATCATGCCAGATTATGCTTTCTCTCAAAGAAACTGTAACTAATGTCTGCTCAGCATAGTTGCAGTATAAAGCACAGGTGGGCTCTGCGGGTGTTGAATAAACACAAATGTGCCTGTAGGCCACTCGAGCAGAGAGGTCTATGCAGAAAATGTGTGGCTAGCCATTATATGTTGTTGTCATCTTTGTATCTATTTTTACAACATTTCAGCTTTTGTGCCCTCCAATCTTTATCTTGTTGACCGGAGTAACCTTCAGGGAATTTTAAAATTAATTCTTTATTCAAGCTATGGGGGTAGAATGTTCTTGTTTGGCTGGTCATGTCTTACGACTTGTCTTATTCTTATTAGTTAACCCAGAATTTGAACACAAATTACTGATTTCATTCTCAGCACTGATGCACATTAATAGGCTTATCATAAACATGCTTATACCATGAAGACTAACCAAAGAATCAAATTGTTAACCTATCAGTTTATAGATATATTTAGTAACTTCCATGCTATAAATATAATCTGGGTCAGATTTTGCAGTTTTGATGTTCAGAGTTTATTTTCATCTGATGCATTGTTGCTGCCATATGTTAGTGCGATATCTTAATTTGTCAGCTTGGCTGATTAATTAAGTTAAGCTGCTTGCATTAATGGATTTTTTGGTCCTTATCATGCATGTACCATTGATGCACTAATTACAAAAGGGACAGTTATATTAAAATCGCAAAACAGAAAATGTTGATATATGGGAATATTGTGAATTTCCAAATATATAATGATGACTTATTGCTTAAGATTCATAGACAATGTAGATATGTGTTCAGAAGCTAGAAAAGACGGATATAAGATTTGTACTACCATAACTTGAAAAAAATAAAAGGTGACCTAGAAATAAATAAACAATGCTGCTCATTCTGAAATATATAGGCTTTGGCATCTTTGTATATATCTAGTAATTTGCTTATTTTTTGTTTGTAACTTCTTGCTGTAAGAAATCAAACTGTTATGAAGAGGTGCTGAAAATTACTCAGCCTGACCTCCTTTCCAAAATCTAATCAAAGTACAAAACATCAGATCTTTTGAAAAAATTTCTTGGTTGTGCTGAGAACTTTTCAGCAACTTATATATAAAATAACAAATGTGTCCTGCTTTGATTTGAACATCCAACCTTGAGATAAACAGGCAAGTAGCCTATCCACTAGGCTAGTGTTCTTCTGTTTGAGTGGCATGGTAACATTAACTTTCAAATACTAAGTCAGACAGAGCGCACAGATACTATACTGATCCCAGCAGGTGTTCATACATAAGTAAATAATCCATCATTTTTTATTGACACTATGTATTTGTATATATTTAAATGTAAAAACCTTGTAATAATAGTAAAGACTTAACAAAAGAAGCCATTATTTTGGTTGGTGTGGGTAAACTAATATTAATAAAAGATGCTATAGAACATAAAGTAAGGGATCGGTTTTCTGTTGTTGTTAACTAATAAATTCATCCCCCAAATAATTACAACAGATTAATATAATAATTGTAAAAATGTATTTCAGGGACTCAGATGTAAAAATGTTCTAATAATAGTAGGGAGTTAATAAGATATTCCATCATTTTGAACAGTATGGGTAAACTTGGATTTTATAAGATTCTGTGAGACATAAAGTGGGGGATCGGTTTTTATTTTTATTAAGTAATAAACTGATCCCTTCAGAGTTATTACATATCAATACAATAATTATAAAAATATATTTAAAGACTCACATGTGAAAACCTTATAAAAGTAAGGAATTAAAAGATTCTATCTATTAATATAAGATTCTGTAAGACGTGAAGTGAGGGATCGGTTTTATATTGTTGCTAAGTAATAAACTGATCCCCTCATAATTTCTACATATTAATATAATAATTGTAAAAAGAAATATATTCAGTGGCTTACATGTGAAAAGTAAAATTCAAGACTTAATAAAAGATGCCATAATTTTGGACAGCACAAGTTAAATTAGTATTTAAATATTAATCATCTGAGTATAATAGTGCATTCAATCAGGATTGAACTCACTACTAGTGCTGACATATGGCCATATCAAGTTGAAACACTGGTTCTCTTCTGATCACTAAAGTTAAGCAACATTGAGACTGGTCAGTACTTAGATAGGTGACTGCTTGGGAATATCAGGTGCTGTAAGCTTGTATCTGTGTGAAGTATAAAGGATGTATGGCTATATAACATTGAAACACTAGTTCTTGTTCAATCACCAAAGTTAAGCAATATTGAGCCTGGTCAGTACCCAGATGGGATGTAAGCTTAGATGTGTGCATGGTATAAAGAGCTTATGCCTATATCATGTTGAAAATACTGGTTTTTATTCACCCAGCGGTTAAGCAGTGTTGAGCCTGGTCAGTAACTAGAAGGGTGACCGCTTGAGAATACCAGGTGCTGTAAGTTTGAATGTGTGGGTGGTGTAATGGATAACATCTTGGAATTGGAAATCAGAGAGCTAAATTCCAATTCCAGTCATGTTCTTTCTATTCACTTACATGCAAATACCCTTGGGAAAAGTATGAATCCACCCCTTTCCCCCTAGATATGGGTTAATTATCAGGATTTGTATCAGTAAATCATTATTATCTTCCCACCAAAAAAATTCTTACTATCTAAAAATATTTTCTAGCTTTAAATAATCTGTAAAAGGTTGATAAGCTGTAAAAAACAATCATTACTTGTGGCATTTCTTGCTTGCTAACTTTACAGCAGGTATTCTTGTTGCATGAATATGTATATGTTTTGTGTATTTCTGTGTTGCATATTGAATCTGTGTTTTCAGTGTGTATGCATGTGAAATTGGATTGCAAATAAGTGAAGGATGATACAGTGTGTGTGTGTGTGTGTGTGTGTGTGTGTGTGTGTGTGTGTGTGTGTGTGTGTTTGAAAGAGGGATGTGTGTGTGTGTGTGTGTGTTTGAAAGAGGGTGTGTGTGTGTGTGTGTTTGAAAGAGGGATGTGTGTGTGTGTGTGTGTGTGTTTGAAAGAGGGATGTGAGTTAGCATTAAACAAACATTTAACTATATGATCAGTGATCAGTTTGTTTGCCGGATACTGAAAAACAGACATTTCAGCATCAAAATTGACAACTGCTTACATAAGCTATCAAGCAAAGATTATTTGCTTTTGCCCCTGATTATTTGCTCTTGCAGACAAATGAGCAACATTAATCTTGTTGTTAAACAACCTTTAACCAATTTTGATACTGATTGCCTCATCACTGCAAACAACACAGATATTAAATTTGTGTTGATGCCTGCTGACCATGATTGGCTCTTTTTTTCTTGTTTTAGCAAATTCTCATTTAATGAGTATGGCAATAGGTTTGTTTTCTCCATTATATGCCCCCATGTGAAACACTGCCTGACATTATCAAGCTCATGAGGTTTTTTCTTGACTTGCTTGTGATTTAATAGGCAGTATTTCTGATTTTTTTTCTCTTTGAAACATTGCTGTTATCATAGAAATAGTGCTATGGCATCCAAGTCACCTGTTGCCAAGTTATTTTTGCTAGTTGATTTCGCAGGCAGAAGAGATTAATTGCTCTGATAAAATTTATATTAAAAAAATCTTTGTAATGAAAATGGGAAAGAGTAGTATTGAAACAGAGAAGCTTTTGAAGAGATGATGACAACGACCAAGAAATGGAATTTGAATTGTATGATTGGGCTTTGAGAGGATTTATTTTTTTGTTTAAATATCATGTCCTTTCTGGACATAGGCAATCATGACTCTCCACAAGGTTCTTTTTTTCTTTGAACCTTGGAGACTGGCACTACAGAATCTCAAACAAGGAACTCTACCAAATAACAGAAATCACTTGAGTGCTTTCAATAGCAGTAACAACTAAAATGGATAGCACTTATAACTTGAAGAGAAAATAAAGACATAATCATGATGTTGATGTTCCACACTTACTTCAATCAAGCAAGCCGCTATCAATACTGGAAAAAGCGATAACAGTTAGTGAACTTTAGAAACATATTTTCCTGAAAAATTCTTTTAATTTCCCAAGAAATTATGGCAATTCACAGATAATAAAGAAAAGAAATCTGTGGAGGTTCATGAGTGCCTATATTCTGAAGGGACGTGGCATTTAAAACAAATACCAGATTTTATTATATAAGTCAATGTTTTGACAATAAAATTGGTATTAACCAAATTAGTACAATTTTCAGAGTTTACTTTTAGAATTTTTGCTGATAATATCTATTTTAAAAAAAAAAAAAAACATTTAAAAATTTAGAATTTCAGTGTCCCAACACCTTTAGCATTTCCTGTTGGTGTATGATTGACAGATGCTTGTATTTTTATAACTACTTATCCCTCTCTTAGACATATATAATTCCATCAAGATGAACATTACTTTATGCTGATAAAGTCTATCTAGAACAGTTGTTCTCAACTATTGTTTACCCATGGATCACTTTTACTCTTAATTCTTTTTGATGGACTCCCACCTAACCATTCAATGAAAAAAAGCTTATTTTATTTTTCACTTATAGATAAGTTTAGGAATTGTATTATAGAAATAGAAAATGTATATGATTCCTTTATATATGATCCTTATACAATTTATATATTAAATTAATTTTATTATTAATATTTTAATATTTTATATTGATTAATTTATATTAATATATTAATATTTTATTTTATTAACATTTAAAATTATATTATTTATATATATATATATATATATATATATATATATATATATATATATATATATATATATATATATATATATAATACTTCTTTTATATATCCTTCTTTGTTTTTATTCAACTTTTTACAATCAAAACATCCGGTAGATTAAAAGGGATGCTAACTTACATTGCTTGGTCATGTTTTCTTCTAGTTTTAGAGTTGTTTTTTTTAATTTTAGTATTTTAATATGATGTAGATTACTGTAGAAATTGCAAATCTCAGTTGTGACAACCACTCCAAAGTGAAATTACATTGTATATGGACCACTAAAAATTAAATTGTATATGGACCACTAAAATATTACAGTGAATCCCCAACCTTCTATGTTTTTTGTGTAGACCCCCAGTAATGTTACATAGACCCCTTGGGCTTAGCAAAGGGGAGAAAAACTGCTAAGAGTCACACAAGATAGAAAATTGTGGAGAGCCATGATCACCTATGTTCTGAAAATATATGGCATGTAAAAGAAGAAGAAGAATTAGGAATTGAGCAGTAAACTTTTTAACTTTGAATCCAGTGTTGCAATCAGTGAAACATCACTTAGGAGAATATAATTAAGTAGTATTTTTGAATTCATTGCTTTTACTTCATAATGATGAACTACTTTGGCAGGGAACATCAGAACTGATGTCTACGTAATATGTAAAATGAGAAGATACTTTCTAAGAATACAACATCCCCAACATGCCTGCACAATATTCATGTGCACACAGGTGTTTTGCCGCTCAAGTGTTTATCAATATCACAAAACTGGATAAATGATGAAGAAAAACAAGGCAGAGATTTTATTTTTACACTTGTGGACCAACATCAAATATTTTCCACTGGCAGTGTAAGCTCACTGACAGAGTAGCAGACTGATGGTTATAAGGTTCAAAGTACTATCCTCAAGTACTGGATCAGTAATCCTTGCTATCACAAACTATTCAGGGAGAGGTGATTTCTAACTAGAACTAATGCTCTTCTCTCTTAGGGTCAGTTTTATAGGTCAAGTATAAAAATGTGTGCATCTGGATCATGCAAAAATGAATAAAAGTAAAGGAAAAAACAAAGTAAGCTGAAGTAATTTTTATCTATTTATATACATCATGTTATGAGTCCTGTAACCTATTAGCGTCAAAGGGGCATCACATATACTTCATTGATAGCAGCAGTGATGCATTTAGGACAAGATAACCTGACAGAGCCCATCTCTCTTCAGGTTGGTTTTGAATTCAGTTTTCTTTCTATTAGACTGGTTTCCACTCAAGGCAAGAGAACCTAGTCTACCTTGATATTTAACCCATAGATAGAGGAAGATGGATTTATGCCTTTCCAAGGTTATTAGTGCAAAGTGATTTTGATTTAATTTGATTTGTTTGTTTAACGGCATATCAATTCCTTATGGGTCATTTAATGCTGAAATTTAATTTTATTGGGAGTTTTGAAGTAATAAATGATATATGTTATTCTGCTTTCACAATTTCAATATATATATCTTAGTAGAAAAAAATATGCACTCCCTGGTAGAAATATTGAAGCTCAGGTGGGAAAAAAGGGATTTTCAGTCTGAGGGGTATTAATGGAAGTATTACTTGTAGGTAGTCTAGGTTTATTATATATATAATTGCATATATAGAAGCAAACAAAGAATGGTTGAAGACATAGATTTGTTTGTAGGCAAAGATAAGTGCTACGATAGAATAGTAATACAGAATGTTAGTGTTTGTCAGCAGCGAAATTGGCTTTGATTGATTTATAAGCCACCTGTATTTTCCATGTTTTTCTTTATACTGATCCATTTGGTACATGTGAGTAGTGGGGAGTACATTTCCCATTTTGAAGGCTTTATACCATATTGTTTTTGCTAACACAAATTTATTAAAAGCTTTAAATAGAAAATAGATAAAAAAAAACCTGTCAATGATCATACAAACAGTTGGGTATCTTATGTAAACACTTTTTCTTTGACATTTACCAGATGGATTTGCTCTGATATAGGAGTAGTTGATAAACAATTATTATTAACATCTTTTAGATTATAACAGTCAAGGAGCAAAGGGAGATAACCAGGGCGTTTGCATGATGTGAAGGCAGATAAAAAAAAATATATCAGTCGTCAGTTTCTATTTGCTATCCCAAGGTAATTTATTAAAAGAGTGTCAAGGTGTAAACATATGGAGGATAGCAGCTATGCCTTTTTACTTACTAGAGAATCAATTTTCAAAAGTACAAACACCTGCAATAGGAGTTTGTATCACTATAATTAGTATTTTATGCCAGTTTCATGAAATAGGATGTGTGAGTAGTGTATTGCCACAGAAGGTCAAATGAGCAAGCCAAATTCCAGTTCTGGCCTAGTTCGTTATGTTCACTTTGCGCTAATACCTCTTGGAAAAGCATGAATGCATTTATTGTCCTACCCTTCAACCAGTGCTGGATTTGCCTAGCAGGC